CGTATATGGTGACACCATCCCGGACAACTGTCTCCCGCCCAACCAGCGTTGGGAAGGTAAGCGCGTGGCCGCGGCGCGAGTCGTAGCACACCTGGCCAACGGCGAGAGACATAAGGAGCCCTGGAGGAATTATGCGGCGACCCTGGCCCCGGCAAATGGCCTCTGTCCCATCCGACACGAGATGGGCACGCCGTCGGGTTTCCTACTCAGCCTCAGCGCCGATGCCCTCGCCTCCGCAACCATCGCATCCCCGGCCGAGTCCCCCCCACCAGGCGTGCTGATCATGAGTGACGACAGACCAGACACCCCCACGGCTGCCGACACAGACAAGTCCCAGGGCACTAGGGACAACGACTCCCGCATGGGCCACCAGGACCCGCCCGACCACACCTGCAACGACGAGAGCGTGGAAGACGGGATCCCCCCATGCAAAGGTGGAGTCTCCCGACTTCGGAGATGGCGATCCCCCTCCTCCCTTTACCTGCTCGGACTCGGCCTCGGAGGACGATGATAAGCGCCCAGTCGACAAGGCGCCTCGACAAAGCCCATCGGCCGACAGCTCTGACTCCAGCCGCGAGGAGGTCCCGACCTCGACCGGGGACGACGCGCCCAATGCCGACCACGGTGGAGAGCCAGCCCGGGGACCTGCGGTGGACGAGAGCACCCGTGACCGAGGAGGCGCGCGGACCGAGCGCTCACCCGCGTCCACCCCACAGCTCCCTGGACAGAGACACTATCACCCTCGCCACACAGGCGCATCAGGGCAGGATGCGCTCAACCTGTTGACCTGTCCGGAGGGGGGTGGCCCCATGTGCAAAGTCTGGCTGGGCACGGTGGACCTGGGGAGTCCCAACGAGACACCAGCCAGGCGTATTGCCAGACCCCAGTCAGAATTGGGCGCAGTTTTCTGCGCGCTGTGGACCGCGCGCACGCAGCGAACCTGGCCCCCTGGATCCAGGGCGCCCAAATCCGACCCGAAATTGCACGCGGCCACGTCCATCATTAAGTTTCTCGACGACTGGAAGGACTGCGGGTGCGATGCCTACCAGATGAACACGAGGCTGGGCTACGGCATTGACTGGGACAGGCTACGAGCCAGCTACCTGCGCCACTCCCGTACCGACGGCAAGGCAGCTACCAGCAGACCAGCTGGCGGGACCGCGCGACAAGCCCCTGGGGCACCTGGGGCAGCTGGCGGGGCGAGCGGAGTGATGGCTGGCGCGAAGACCGCTGGCAGACGGGCGGCAAACGCGGCGGAGGCCGCCCCGACGTTCGAGACGATAGAGATGAAAAGAGGCTCCGATGGAGGGACTGAACTCACTCCCCACCCCCCAGCGCCAAGCGCCACTACGACCACCTCACTACACACTGGTGCGGCCTTCAGCCGCCTTCTTCCTCTCCAACTGCGGGGCAGCCCGACTGCCCCCCACCCCTGGACGGCACTCTTCCTACCTTTGGACCATGGTGTGCCGCACAGCAATACTATTTGCACCACTGCGTGACCGTGCGCAGCTTGCAGACCCTAGCAGGCCCCTGGCCCCGCTGTACTTGCTCCTAACAGTGGCCGCTGAATCCTTGCCGCAGGGTTCTCGTTGTCCTCTCTTGCTGTGTTTCGACCCTGGAGCTCCCCCTGGCGCAGCCTTGTGCCGCGCTCGGGGCCCGCTCGCTTGCGGCGCTCCGCCGCCCTCTCCCCCGATGCGTGCACCTCCTGCCTTTGGATTCAGGTGTGCGTGTCGGTAATGCCGTCCCCGCCGCTCACTACCGCATGTGGACCTGTGGCCTCCGGCCTTACTGTAGATGTTTCCACCCGCCAGGCGTGGCCTGGCGCGCGACTGTGGGCCCTGGCGGTTTCGCCTGGCCATGGATTGCGTCACTCCCTGGACCTCTCAAACATTTTACGGCCTTCAGCCGTTCCCCTGGATCGAGGCGACTTTGAGGGATGCGTTTTGGGTATACGACGGTCCCGTCTCTCGGGTGCCACCTCGCGCGCGGTTGAGTGGCGCTTAGTCGCTTTGCTGGTGCTCGACAGCGACCACGTGTTACCGTGTGGCTGCGTGCACTTTGCAGTGCTTTGACCAGATCGCTGGTCCCAGGGCCCAGGCGCATCTCAGTCGTGGAAGGCTCTCCCGCTGGCGACCCAGATTCCACTTGGATGCGTGTTCCGATGTCGTCGCGGTTCGCTGGCGCCGTCATATCTTTTCCCCGCTGGACTGTGTCACCAGTCAGTCTGTTCCTACCCGTCAGACTCCCTGGATTGACGTCCCGCTCGGAATCGTTCCCACCCTTTCGGACCCGTTCTGGTGGTAACGCTTGCGCGCCATTTTGGCTGCGCTCGGCTTCCTCGGTGGCTGTTCTCAGACTCCCTGGATGTGCCGTTGCACGTTCTTTCAGGGGCTGCCCTGCAGACTCCTTGGACCTGCGCGCCTTGGCTCAGACGCCCTGGACGCTGCTGCTTGCCGCCTGACCGCGGCTTCGCGCGCGCCCGCCTTCTAGTCGCGGCCGCAGCCCGGCCTTGACCGCCTGCCGCTGGCGCTTCCGCCTGCGGCTGAAAAAAATATATCCCCACCCGCCCATCCAGAAACGACGCCCAGGCGAGTAGGGGTGATCATGGAAGCGGGGCAGCATACAGAGGAACAAAGGGCGGGGGAGGCCGTCGTACCCCAAGGAAGGGGTGATGGAGGAGGACTCGGAGGCGGAAGCGGAGGATGAGGATGAGGGTGGGGAGGGAGGAATGAGGAGGAGGAGGAGGAGGAGGAGGAATATGCGGATGATGATGTTCATGTTGACATTGATGATGCTGATGATGACGATGATGGTGGTGGTCTTGACGATGGTGACTGTGCTGGTGCTGGTGATGATGATGATAATTATGATGATGGTGATGGTGATGATGATGATGATGATGATGATGATGATGATGATGATGATGGTGATGATGATGATGATGATGATGATGATGGTGTTGATGAGGGGGAGGAGGAGGAGGATAAGGGCGATCAGAAGAGTCAAAGGCCTCTTGAATGCCTCGCGGAGTCTCTTGGGATGTCTCTTGGGATGCTCTTTGAGGTCTCTCGGGGCGTCTTGGGGGCCTCTTGGCGGTCCCGGGAGCTTCTTGGACCGTCTTGGGTGCCTCGTGGGAGCCTCTTGGGGCCTCTTGGGGGCCTCTTGGGGGTATTTTGGGGGACTCTTGGAGGCCTCTTGGGGCCTCCTGGTCGCCTCTTGGGGCCTCCTGGGCGCCTCTTGAGGCCCTCTTGGGGCGCTCTTGGGAGCCTTGGGGGCGCTCTTGGGGCCATCTTGGAGGTGATCGATCAAAGGAAGGGGGTCCCTCAATTAGCCTCCCCCCTCGGGAGCCTCCAAAATCGGCCAAAACCCTAGTAAAACCGATGAGTTTGGCTTCCTCGCCGAGGCCGTTTTGGACGCTCTAACTACCAGCGGCCCCCCCCGTCCAAGTCCAGGGGAGGGGGTTAGGGGGAGGGGTAAACCCCTCCGGGAAGGGGATGAAGGAGGTTGGAAGAGGAAACTCCCGGAACCACCTACGCCCAGAGGGCTGGTGGGAGTAACAAATACCCAGAAATAATAAACAATATCAAAAAATAACAGAACGTCATCATACTCTTTTTTGACTAATCATACGGAGCCTAGGTCGGGAATAAGAAAAAATGTGTAATATGGAGGTCTGCGCGGATCTCTTAGATCGGCGCTGGACACCCCCCACAGGCGCGCGGAGCGCACCAAGGCGGCGCCAGTGGCGCCGCTAGGGTTAAGTCGAGCCTGTCCCTCTGCAGGAGGATTATTCAAAAATAGTCAAAAAAGAGTATGATGACGTTCTGTTATTTTTTGATATTGTTTATTATTTCTGGGTATTTGTTACTCCCACCAGCCCTCTGGGCGTAGGTGGTTCCGGGAGTTTCCTCTTCCAACCTCCTTCATCCCCTTCCCGGAGGGGTTTACCCCTCCCCCTAACCCGCTCCCCTGGACTTGGACGGGGGGGGCCGCTGGTAGTTAGAGCGTCCAAAACGGCCTCGGCGAGGAAGCCAAACTCATCGGTTTTACTAGGGTTTGGGCCGATTTTGGAGGCTCCCGAGGGGGGAGGCTAATTGAGGGACCCCCTCCCTTTGATCGATCACCTCCAAGATGGCCCCAAGAGCGCCCCCAAGGCTCCCAAGAGCGCCCCAAGAGGGCCTCAAGAGGCGCCCAGGAGGCCCCAAGAGGCGACCAGGAGGCCCCAAGAGGCCTCCAAGAGTCCCCCAAAATACCCCCAAGAGGCCCCCGAGAGGCCCCAAGAGGCTCCCACGAGGCACCCAAGACGGTCCAAGAAGCTCCCGGGACCGCCAAGAGGCCCCCAAGACGCCCCGAGAGACCTCAAAGAGTATCCCAAGAGACATCCCAAGAGCCTCCGCGAGGCATTCAAGAGGCCTTTGACTCTTCTGATCGCCCTTATCCTCCTCCTCCTCCCCCTCATCATCAACATCATCATCATCATCATCATCATCATCATCATCATCATCACCATCACCATCACCATCACCATCACCATCACCATCACCATCACCATCACCATCGTCAAGACCACCACCATCATCGTCATCATCAGCATCATCAATATCAACATCAATATCATCATCCGCCTATCCCTCCTCCTCCTCATTCCTCCCTCCCCACCCTCATCCTCCTCCTCATCTTCCGCCTCCGACTCCTCCTCCATCCCCCCCCCTTGGGGTACGACGGCCTCCCCAGCCCCTTGTTCCTCTGTATGCTGCCCCGCTTCCATGATCACCTCTACTCGCCTGGGCGTCGTTTCTGGATGGGCTGGTGGGGATACGTGAAGCGTTAAGAATTTTTTATTTGTCATCCAAAATCCGCCTGTCGGAGGACATGCCCGACCTAACGCTCGGGTAAGAGGATCGCCCCGCGTCGCCCGACGTCGCCGACGCGTCGCCGCTGCATCGCCGATGCGGTGCGATCCTCCGACCGACCGACCCCATCTACTCTGACCCCAGCTGGGCGGCCTTCAGCTCAGATGCTTCGGCGGGCGTTCAATACCTGTTGGTTGGGCCTACTATGACCGAGGAAAAACAGGTGACATCACCATGAACTTTCGGACGTCCGCGTGGATTCATTGGGTCGGTGTTGGACCCCGACCCCTCTGGCGGCGACTCCGGCGTCACCGCTGGCGTGCTCGGCGCGCTAAAGGGGGGTGGGAGGGGATCTCCAGCGCCAGCCCAAGATCTCCGTGCGGACCTCCGAGAGTCACCACCCACCGAAGCATCCCAACCCAACCCGAAAAAAACCTTAATTTGCCCTCCATTCCCGGCGGGGGGCGTCGGGGAGCATTGACAAAAACACAGATGGAATCCGACCCCCCCCAAACCCGAAATTTGGTTCGTCGGGTTGGGTTGGGGTGGTATGGTATGTATTCAGTGAGAAGACACTGACAGCTGGCACGAAAGGTTAAGAGCAAACCTTAGCCTTCGAGGAGTATCTGATATGTTCATCGCGTTTGACGTATCACCAACGGGGCCTTGCGCCTGCGGCCAAGGGGTTGACGTTCTTGATCCACGCTGTTGTGGCCATATGTCGATTGTATGTTTATTCCATGTGTTAGCCTACGTGGGCCTCAAGCAGCACGTTATTGCTCTGGAGAGGGAAACGCTGTGGGGCCCTCCTGTATCATACTTTGCACGTCCGTCTCATCATTATGTCCATCATATGCTCGTTCGTCATACTATCGTGATCCGTATCTCCATCAACATAATCATCATCACCATCATCACCATCAGCATTACCATCATCTTCAGCATCGTCGTCTGGCATCCTCTGCATCAGATGAGTCATCATCATTGTCGTGCCAGGGTATCTCCATCACGTCTTTGTGAACCACATGCGTGTGTACTCCTCCAGTATCTCCCTCCATGCCCCCCCCCTCCTCCGTAAGCTGTGTTGGCTCAAGGTTTGACGGGTTCCGTGCCCCGTGCTGCGCGACGCCATGGGGAACCCAAAGAAGGTACTGAGGGCTCCGGCCCCCCCGCGCCGCCCTCATAGGGCCGGTCCCGCCGGACCGTCATCGCTCGCTCTCTCTCTCCGGGAACATATATTTTCGCGACGAAGCGATGTGAGGGGCAATGTGCGTACGAGAATCTTGGAGGCATCGCGCGGCGCGCCATCATTGTACGACGCGGGTTCGACGTCAATCGGGTCTCAAGTTGCATCGCCAGGCCTCCAGGATTTCCCCATCAGTGTGCACGCGTCGACGAAGTAAAATTGCATAAACACAATTTCTCGGAGATCCGCGCGGATCTCTTGGATCGGCGCCAGGCCCCCTTGGGTGCGCCCACGCGCCGGGGAGGGGTGCCTCGCGCCGATCCAAGAAATCCGCGCGGAGCTCCAAAAGTTCATGTTCATGCAAGTTTTGTTCCTCTATAATAATGGCAGCGGCTAGCGAGGGGGGAAGTGAGTAGGTGAAGGCCCGCGTGGCTTCTCAGAAACCTTCGACCCTTCTGAGCAGTTGTCTGCGTTTTCGGGGAATGCTCAGAAGACTGTTGAAGACTGTTCAGAAAGCCCGAGGCCTTCAGAGCTTTCTGAGCAGGCCCTCCTCTTCTCACTTCCCTCGCGCTCGCCTCCGAATACCAGTTCACACGTGCGCGCTGACATGAACCGGGGCTGCCTTCTGGAGAGTGACTTGTGGAGAAATGCCCCAGTGCTAGCCACCAGACTGTGATACCAGAGCGCGTTAGAGGGACGAGCGCCCCTTGCCACGCCGCCCCGAAGTCCACACACGCGCGGCTCCCATCTTTCAGGAGGGGAAAAAACACACAGACATAATGAGTCGTCGATTCCCTCGAAGATATGGGAAAATATGGGAAGCGGGGGGGAATGCGACAACCCAGAAAATATGGGAAGATATGGGGAATCCTTTTCTTTGTGTGTATCTACGTGTGTGTGTGTCCTTGGGCCCCTGCAGTCTTGCCCTCCCCGAGGCGGCGCCGGCCGGCGCCCTCGGCGTGCCGCCGGAGGCGCCGAGGTCCTGCCGCCGTGCCCGCGGCCCCGCCCGCGCCAGGGGCGCGCCGGCGGCCGCCGGCGGGAGCCGTCGCAGGCCGCGGGGAAGGGCTCGTTTCGATTCCTCCGATTCGATTCGATTCGATTTCGATGGTTTCCGATTCCGAGTCGATTCGATCTGGGATTCCGATTCGAGTTCCGATTTCTTGTTGGAGGCATACCAGCCTGCCGATTTCCGCCGATGCGACTTTCCCCGACTCGGCTGCCGATTTCCGACGATCCGATTCATGTCGATCGCCGATCCGACTTGTCGATCCGATCCTGGGCTCTCCTGGGGAAGGCCTGCAGGGGCAGCGTCACAGTGCCGCTTTTAACGCATGCTCCGCGTGCGGGTCACGCATTGAAAATGCAGGCATGTGGTATTAAGAACAGCGATGAGTCCATGCACACATTCGTTCTCAAATTACTCATGACTTGAAGATCCTACATGTTGAAATCCTATGTGTTTCATACTGCCCTGTATCCTCTGTGATTCAGAGACGAGGTTCTCAGGGATGGGGTCCTCAGGACGGGGTGCCTCAAAGGATGTAAAAATCCACCCTCCGATCCATTCTCTACCCCTAGGGGCCCCGGGCCCCATGAGCCCCATGCATCGGGACCCCACCTTTGAGCCACCAGTCTTCGAAGACGAGAGAAAGGCAACGTTAGGGGGGGGGTAGGCTCAGGGGGGAGGCATCGACCTCCCGTCGCTCTTTGGTCGCCGAATGGGCCCGATAGCCCATCTTCAGGAAGGGAAAAACACACACAGACACAATTAATCGTCGATCCCTAGGAAAATATGGGAAAATATGGGAAGTGGGGGGGAAGACAGAAACCCAGAAAATATGGGAAAATATTGGGAATCCTTTTATTTGTGTGTGTATTTATTTGTGTGTCCCAGGGCCCCTTCACATCTGTCGCCGAAGGGGCCCACTCGCCCGTTGGTCGCCTCCAGGGGCAACGCTGGTAGTGTCGCTCCTGGAGGCGACTCGTTCGTTGGCGTCGCGTTGGCGCCGCGCCCTGTTTCCAGACCCCAGATGCACAGATAAACTGACTCTGTGTTTTCTTCTTCGCCCCGTGGCCCCCCCGCCAGTGACAGGCCCACGGCGGATCCCAAAACGCCACTCGATGGCGACAAGACAGCACAAGCACTTTTGGAGCTACGTGCGGATCTCTTGGATCGGGGCTGGACCCACCTCCCTGGCGCACGAAGCGCGCCACGAGCGGCGACGGAGGCGCCGCCAGGGGGTTCCAGCGCCGCTCCTAGAAATCCGTGCGGCCCTCCGGACGTATATGTTTATGCCATGATTGCGAAGGCCTTGCGGCCAGTGCCGCCGACCCTGAGAACGACGATGATGAAAACGAGGGGGGGGCAGGGGGAGGAGGACGAGTGGGAGGTGGAGGAAACGGAGACGCCGCCAGGGGGTTCTAGCGCCGTTCCAAGAAATCCGTGCGGCCCTCCGAACGTATGTGCTTATGCCATTATTTGTTCCCCGACTCCAATCGCCCGTTGATCGCCGAAGGCGTCCGACAGCCCATCCCCGCCCAGGATAGGTTGGAGGTTATAGGTTTTCGGCTGTGTTTGTCGGTTCTCGGCAGGCTTCCAGCCTCTAGATGTTCTCCAGCGTTTGCGCCTTGCCGAGAGCGTTTTCTGGGGTGCCCAGATCGTCCCGAGCGGCCAGCTTATGCCCCGAAGACCACAGGGTCCGGGGGGGGATGCATCGACCTCCAATCGCCCGCTCATCGCCGAGAGTGGCCCGATAGCCCATCCCTGCCCAGGAATGCGCGGATTCGCCATCGGGGGCCTACCGCCGATCACTCGGCGATGCGTCGCCGATTCCAAGTCGGTGCCCTCCCCACCCCCCGATCTGGTCCCCCCTTAGCGTTGCCCCGCAGGCGTGGGCCAAGTGGGGCTCCTACCGCGACGACGCCACCTGCGTGTTGATGTGTCTGTGAAAATCAGCATCCTTCCTCATCCTCATCCTCATCGTCACCCCACCCTCCCACCTCCTCCTCCTCCTCGCCCTCTACTCTTTCGCCCTCCTTGCTCCGTCCGTCGTCAATGACATCACCCTCGGTGTTACCGCCGCCCCCAGCTTTCACAAGAGAAAACATAAGACTACGGAGAAGAAGACAACCCTGGCGGCGCCTCCGGCGCCCCCCCTTGCGCGTCCGCGCGCCAGGGTAGAGGGGAGTTCAGCGAGGATCCAAGGAATTGCGCGCAGAGATCCTATAGATTATGCTGGTGGTGTTTTCTCTTCTTCTATCGCGACTATACCACCTGCGTCTTGGTTTACCAGTGAAAAAGGGTGGTCTTCTCCGTTGCTGTCTATGGCATCGGCGCCCTGCGTGCTTTGCGCCGTCGCCAGCCTCATGGCCGTGACCTCGCATTCCATTCGCACCCTGTCGGAAATGCGCTCGCACCGGGTGGGCCAATCATGTGCAAACGGGGGCGCTTCCTCCCTCCGCCATCCACCTCCTCCCTGCCCAATGTGCACGGCTGCCCACGATCCGATTCGATGCGATTCGATTCGCCGGCATCGGCCAAGGTCAGCCAGAGCTAGGCGCGGCAATCCGTTTTTGATCCGAGTTGGGGCGATCTATCCAATCCGTTTCGATCCGAGCCGACTTCGCGATTCGATCTTGCTCGGGCCTGCCCTGTACAATCGGGGCGCTGAAGAAGGAGCCGTTTTCGTTTGGGAGGGGCTCACTGTTCCTTAGTTGTTTGACAGTTTGCCTTTGGCTGCCTTCCGATTTCCGATGGGAAACCGAAGCTCAACTTATGGACAAACAACAGGCCGCGCTCCATTCTGAGGGTTCCTTAGGTCAACGGCCCGACTGTATCCCATCTCCCCAAAGCATCTCCAAGGTGCACTGCAAGCGCCAGGGGGGGCCAACCGCGCCGACGGCCCAGCGTCCATCCGCGTCGTGGGCAGCCGCCTCGCGCCAGCTAGTGGCGCTCCAGCACACGGCGCGGTGCGCCGCCGTGCGGAGGTTGCCCCGCGTCCTGGGAGGGGGAGGGGGGCCTCCACTCCTGC